AATGGTCTTTTAGTGAACCATTAAATTGGTCAAGTTTTTATGCAACTCTTAATTAGTGGTTAAAATACTATTTTCATAATGTAACAACATTTTTATAATCACTTTATATTGTTGGATAATTTGTTAAATAAGCTTATAGGTAATTGAGTTTTGCGTTCCGATTGTACTTTTGGACCCAAGGAACAAGTAAGAGCAATATAAGATAATTCCATAACCATAACATATTTATGTTGTTTGTAATAATTAAAATTACGGTAAATAATTAATAGGTTGGTATATATTGCCATTGAAATTTTAATTAAAATTTTAAAAAGGAATCTATCTACAAAAAAATAACAGTGTCTGTTTGGAGTTGTGCACATGCATAACTTTTCGAATTTTCTTAAAATCATAGAAAATTACAAATTTAACTTAAAACATGGTTATTTTTTGCAGATGAACCAAGCTACTCATTATTTAAATGGGTCGATGATATGCGGTTTGTCGGCAAAACAAACTTGGTCGTTGAGAACCACCAACTTGGCCAACTATTGACAAGCATGGGCTGCGATAACAAGAGCCAAGGCGACCTGCTGCAGCCGCAGTATATGCCGCTTGAAGACACTAAATCAAACGCCTGTCAGTATGGCAGTGTCACATCCGGGCAAACGCTCTTCCCCAACTGACGGTCATTCACACATTGTGGATGAGGGAACACAACCGGTTAGCCAAACTACTGTCACACATCAACCCGCAATGTGACGACGAATGTATTTTTCAGGAGGCCATTAAAATCGTTATGGCGTCCATACAGCACATCACTTACGTTGAGTGGCTGCTAGCGCCGCTCGGGGAAAACTACACCAGGCGGAACTTGCTTGAATTATTGAATGAAGGGTACAGTAAAGCCTACAACTAGACCACCGACCCGAGCGTCCACAACAGCTTTGCAACCGCAATATTTACGTTCGCTAATTCCATGATAAGTGACACCATCCGGTTCGTGCACACCTGGTATAATAATATTATCATTATTATTATCGTGTATAGCTAGGTTACTTTGGTATCAGTGTAGGAACTTATACCTACATAAGTTATTCTTACACCGTGTGGGAGCTAACATATATAATATCCAACCTTTTTTCCCTTTAAAGTACTTACATAATATGATTTATCAACAAATAGGAACTAACCAATGAATTTGTTACCTCCTAGGTTTCATGTATGAACATATGTTGGCCCACACGCTTAGACCTACCACGCCTTAACCTCGTGCACTTAGACTGACTCTTTCAAAACAAATTAAATTAGCACTAGTAAAGTACGATAGTATGTGCTTGTCTTTTATACGTTGGTTCCTTCTAAATTAGAATGACTCAAGATTCTTTAAAATATGGTCTACTTAGTTGTGTTATAGTTAAGAGAAATTCTACTGTCACCTCACCACAAATTGCATGACCTATCTGAATTTAAAAGTTTCTAAAATATATTATATTGGCGACTGTCTACATTGCAGACTCAACAATATATGACAACTATATAATATGTACCCGCCCCAACAATATTTTAAGATGTCGATTGCTGTGCTTTTGTTTGTAAAGTGAATCATCACATTTAGTTGTGTGATGGTACTTTAGCCTACTTATAATTATTAATTTATATGTACCTCTGTTTTTGTTTAGTTTATATACGGAAGGCCGAGTGATCAACGCAAGTCTTTCGCTAAAATAACATTACAACGGACCAACTGGTTTACCATTAAATTACATTTATCAGCTTGTGAGAGGGCTATCTACGCAGAGTACGACGACTCAATGGTTGGCCCAACGATGAGATGTATCATTAGAAAACAGTTTATAAGAACTAGAATGGCAGATAGATATCTTTACGATTTACTAATTATACTCAATGAATGTTAGTATATCTGAAATGTTTTTCTTATAAATGATCCTGATTTTAACTAAATTTTTTTAATATTTCAGATCAACTGACAGAAATCAGAAAAGTAACGCTTGCCAGAATCTTTTGTGATAACAGTAATAATGTCACAATGATGCAGAAAAAAGTATTTTTGACACCTGAAATGGCTGATTTGCAACTCTGTAGTTCCCAATTAATTCCAAAAATCAACATAAATCACTGGTCAGAAAATGTCTATACATTTCAAAAATAACCTCGTATAAATCATTGATGTATTAATTTATAATGTATTATTACTATTATTATTGAAAAACAATATTAACATTATTTTAAATTTAATAATCAATAACCAGCCTTTAATCTAACATTTTTTCATTTTACCTATGTGTCTTGTTTTCAATAAATATTTATAAAATGACTTATGAGTCTATATTTATTATTTAATAGATTACATTTTTTGATTGTATAAAATACATTTTTAAATGTTGATATAATTTGTAAGTACAATAAATGTTCATTAATATTTTTAAATGATACAGTTATATTATTTTTGGGAAATTTGAACAAATGATAAATTGGTCAAGGGAAAAATTAGAAATGGAATTCTTAGCGAATTGTAATCAATTCAGGGTATTCATTAAATTAAGAAAATTAATTATACAACAAGAATCAAGATATGATTTAGAATTAATAATGAGAAACGTATCGGAAATTTGAGATCATATTATTTGTGTACATCTGAAGTTATCTGAATGTTTTGAAAAAGTGGGTCGTTACTTATTTTTGCTTATTGTGTATGTGTGTTACCCAATAAACATTTTGTAATTTTAAACATTAAATGTATCATTTAAATACATTAATAGTTCAGTATCAATATTAATGGTTTAATTAACATTTCATGAAAGCTTAAAAAAACTATTAGTATAATAATGTCAAGATATCATTTCTATGAATGTTTAAAAAATATAACCGTGTATTCTTCTACATCAGCATATAAAAACAAAAAAATAATTTTATGTTTATTCGGTAAAAATGTTAAATTAACAAAACAAAAAAATTTTTCTGTAAAATACGGGCCCCCGCTTGAGGTTGGGTATTATAGTTTACAATAAAAAATATACCTACCTTCTACCTATTATATAAATTCTCAATATATTTTATTTTATTTTACACGATTAAAATCAAAATGAAATACTATTGTATATAGTAATAGTATTGAAATACTTTTACTCAAGTTCTTTACTTGACTGACTCCGAGGTATATAATAAATTATTGAGCAGGAATGCAGGATGCAACATGTTTCTACTGCAGGTTAGAAAACGTCATCATAATAATTGCAATCGTTGATATTGTTCCAATTATTTACACTGAAAAGTTACTATTGTGTTGTATATTATTGTTATCATACAGTATATTTTATTATTCGTTAATTGTTGGTTTCATAATATTATAATATAGATCATGCACTCGTTATCAAATGGTATTGTTAATTGTTATAGACTATAGTTGTTACGCAATACGCATAGTGTTATAATGCAGAAATACACAAACTAAAAATTATAATATTATGTAACAATTAATATTTAAAATAGAAGATGCATCACATGTTTGACTATTTGAGTATCTTGTATAAGGTGGTAGGTATAGGTCAGTGCCATAATTATGAAATTATAATGAGGGTGGGGAGGGGTCACATAATTTCTGTAACACAGAGCTACATTTATAGTATGATTCAGTAGAAAAATGTAATATCGTTTTATAGTTAATTCACTAAGAACATAATCGCAAGGTAGGTACCTACTGCTATACTTGAATTTGTTTGACAAATATTTAATTAAGTTATTTACTGTTATTTTTAATTGATTGATGTAAATAAATAAATAAATAACTTTTATAATATTAGTTATGCTTGGCCCCATGTAATCATTCCGTAATATTTAGGATTAAGATTGACTGTGCAAGTAATACAAATTACCTATATGTAATATACCTATACGTATTACCTAAAGGTTTTATTTGAAGATTAAATACGTGTCTAACTTCGTTAAACATATAAAAAACCCTTTTGAATTGTGATTGTCAATGTTCTAATGTGGTGAATACTTTTAATTTTTTTATCCTCCTATGGTTTTTCTTCATAACCTTTTTGTTTGATATTGTTTGATATTTTTTTTTTACCAACATAAGAAAAAAAAAATGTTAAATACATCACATATAATTTTTCCGTTTGTCACCGCAAATTGCAATACCATTTTTATCAATTAATTTATTAATTATGAATGCTTTATTCATTTTTTACATATTAGGTCATTAATAATTATCCACAATAATTTGTGTTTTTACCCGCGTTCTTAATTTCATCATGATAATCAGCGTTCGAATTGAGGTTGTACGTATTCTGACGGAGTCCGCTTTAATTTTTTTCATGGATTTCATTGTTCTCCTTCATTTAATTATGCTAGAAAAGCGTCCCCATATTTGATTTTTGTTTTCATTTATTATTTATAGCAATTAAATTGTTATTTTTTTATCAGGAAACGGTTATCGTCATTCGTCACCGACAGTCGATACGGTAGGTACCTACCTACCAATAATATTGTACCTATAGCAGCATCGACTTGTCAGTTGTCAAACATATTTTACGTTCATAATTGTATCATAACTTATAAGTAAAATCAGTTAATACTATTAATTGGAAAATGGGTTATCATCAATGACAGTAAGAAATATACCTATAACAGTATAACACCGTTTAATGACATTATTTTGTTTTCATAGTTTTATTATTCGACGTACCTATAAGCAAGGAATCAATTTCACGTGGATTCACAGGCAACGTAACAATGTCTTGTAAATTATAATACGAGACACTAAACAATAAAATAAGACATAAGCGTCTAAATATTATAACGTTTTTGTTTTAATTACCTATTTAATTTACTATATGTGTAGGTGGTGCATTCAAAATTAAACTGTCCATCATGGGCGTTCCCAGGGGGGGAGGTCACCTGACCCACAGTTGTTTTCCAGTAAATGTGGCCTCTCGAAATGGCAAACTACATAATCATTTTTTTATTAAAAAAAATTATGAACTGTTCTATAATAAACAATATTAAATTATAAAATAGGAAAAAGCGATTGGATAAAAAAAATTACCTAACCTAGTTTAAATTAATTTAATTCAAAATATAATAATAGCCGCAAGGAGTAGTTACATAGAATTTAGGGCCAGTAGTTGACAAATTAACGATTCAGTGTGAACTATCCCTCCAATAATTTAAGCAGGGGTCAGCTAAAATAGTATAATTATAACTGATACCCCCTACAAGTTACCTATAGTACCTAGTTTTACTATTAGCTGATGCGCATAAATATATTTTATAATTTTCCATTTTGGATATCCAATTTATATATTTATATATTTTTTAATATTTCTTCCTATTAGTAAATTTGAATTTCAATCAAAGGTGACCAGAACAGTACCAAATTAATATTTATAGCTACACGAATACGTAGTATGGACATGTATTAGATCCAAATTATAGTATATGAAATCGGAAATTGTATTATCATAGGCGCACTTTGGGTTAAGCTTATGGAGGTGCTAGATTTATATCGACTAAAGTGATAAATGGTTGCTTTGCCACGCACATCCCCTTCCATTCATACAACTTTATTTATACACCTCCTCATAAATCTTAATACAAATTAATATACACTTTTACCTATATTATTATTCTGATACCTATGTATCATTATTAATAAGAAAATGATAAAGTCTTAGAAATAATTGTATCCAAATACCTATGGCATAATTTTAAAGTCAATAAAAATTCGATGATGCCATAAAAAAATTGGGGGTCCTAATATAAATTTTGGTGGTGCTAAGCACCACTAAGCACCTCCCAAATTGTGCCTATGTGTGTTATATGACTATACATTTTACAATGTCATTCACCACAATAATGATTATAACAGGTCATAAAATACTTAAATGCAATGCTCGGCATTAACGAGTTAAAAGTAAAAATTAAGTTAAAAAGTCAAGTTAATTTTAATTAAGTTAATTCACTCGTTATTTTTTTTTTCAAATTAACTTTTTACTTAATAAGTTACTTTTTTTCAAGATTAACGTGTTAACTCCAAGTTAATTTTATTTCAAAAGTATCTAAATCAAGTTAATTTTCGTCCGAAGAATAATACCCATTTTCGAATGGGTTTTTACTTTGATGTATTATTTTAAATTTCCCCAGTAATTTTCTTGAGCGTGAAGAAAAATTATCTAATTAACAATATTATTAAAATATAATAATATTATGTGTCTGGAATTTTTTATTTTTGCAAATTAGCAAATTTTAACTTCACACTAAGTTAAGTTACTTTTTTTTTCAATGTTAACTTTTAACTTAACGAGTTAAATAAAAAAAATACGAGTAACTTTTAACTTATAAATTAACGATGATTTTTCTTATGATAAATAATCTAATGTTATACAGATTTTCTATCTGTATAACTTAAAATATTTAAAAAAAATTTGTGGATGACAAAATATAAAAAAACATTTTAGGTTTCTAAAAATAAGTTTAGAACAACTTTACTTATGTCCCCGTGACCCCGTCCGGCCGTTATTTACCAGTAGGTACATATATGTAGTCATGTAGATGTAGTTACAATTGTTGATATTAAGATATTTATTTATTGTAAAAGTGTTTAATATAATATGTAGATTCATACTATCTAATTTACATTATCGTAAAAATATTATTAAGAAACGTAGTATTTTATTTCGAGGTTTTAATATTTACAAAAATATATATATTAATAAAATATTTTAAATAAATATAATGTGCTTTAAATGTGTTTTTTAACAATACAACAAATGTACCTAATATAATTTATAAATTATAACTGAGAGATTTTAGTAGATGTTTAAAATGCATGTTCACTTCTTTTGGGTGCCACATATCACTGATTTCATATCTATGGACCTTCATAACAATTAAACATTTGAAATATTTACAATAATATTTTTACTTAATATGGTGTTGTATCAATCATTCAATCGTAATATATGCATATGTTAATTGACTAATATTTTTAATTTTTGACAAACAAATTGTTCTATTACAATGCTTAATCAACTTTATCTAGTGTTCAAAACATCATACCTAACTAAAGGTAGGTGAGCGAGAATGAAATATTCGAAAAGTCCTAATGGCTAATACAATATGTATTCTGTCATTAAATTAAAT